ACGGACGACGGCTGGAAGTAGCACCAATTAACCAGGTGAGACAATCAATGACAAATCGAAATGTATTTTCTTTCTCAAGATGTGAAATCCCCTGCGTGAGGACACAAAACGCACAGAGCTCTGCTTCTTTTAAAATAGTGCCACAACAGCCAAATTGGGTTAAAACGATCATGTGTGTTTTATATAATGTGTTTAAAATCAAAAACAGTCTCCCTGTGCGGCTGGATGTGAAGGCGATAGCCCGGTGTTGTTGTGCGCAGACTGGGAGAGGATCGGCCACTTCTAAGAATAGCGCATAGGGTGGTCTTTGTGCGTTTCGGCGGGGCAGTGACATGTGGTTGATAAATAACACGCGCACACACACATAATGATCCGACCGTGAGCTTGGCCTTTTTTTTTTAACAACTGTCCTGTCAACCGGAGCGAGGTGAGAAGGACGTCCCGGAGATTAGCGGACTTGAAAGTGGCGCCGTCCTCGATGGTGAATATTCAGGCTTTTCGCACTCTGTTTAGTGACGAAGTGTGTGAGAGCCTGTGGGGCGACGGTGGGAGTGTGTATGTGCGCGTGTGCGTGCGCGCACACGGAGCTTCTGCGCTAAACAAGGTTACGGAATCCAGCCTCGCCCTGCCAACGGGAAGCGAGCGGTGCTGCTCCGTTTATACACGGTTCAGTTCAGTTGGAGGGCATCCCCGCGGTGTGTGTGTGTGTGTGTGTGTGTGTTGGTGTGGCAGCTGATTGTGTGTTCGTGGGGGAGGTGTGTGTGTGAGAGAGAGAGGTGGGGGGGCTTTGTTTGGACAGAGTGGACGTTGATCAGCCGTCTCATCAGTCCCAGAGGCAGTGTTAGGGGAAAGGTGTGTGGGGGAAGAGACGGGACTGCACCGCTCACCTTCCTGTCGACTTGATGGAAACCGCTCTGGCATCCTGCCACCGCGCACACACTTCATGTCTTGCAGGTGTTCTCCGATATGACTTTGCGCTGCAGTAGCTATGTTGTCTTCCACTCGCACGCAGTCTCGCTGCGAGACTAGTCTTTGCATTGCGGGGGGAATATCCTTGGCGCACGGAGCAGTCATGTAGCGCCATTTAGGACCCCCTCCCCCTGCAGCCACGATACGCGCAGCGCTCTCACATGGGAGAAAGTGGCACCCCAGACTCTTATTATTAGTTTTAAAAGTGCCACTTATTACAGTCACTATAATTTCCTGATTGCTTGGAAAGCTTGGTGAGATTTTCACGAATTTTAAACCACTCTATCCAAATCCGCCACTCTGCCATTATCAACTTTAAAGCATTTATTTTCACTTCTTGCCTCCTGCACCAGTTTGTGGGCGGCAGCGATCAGTATGAACCACTTCTTATAGTTGCTGTTTAATTGAAATAAGTGCTGCAAGGCGTGTTGGACGCGATCCAAAAATGAATCGTCTCCTTCTTCTGTAAAGCTCCTGCGGGCTGCGTATAGCCTGCATTTTTCACGACCAGCAAAGTAGCATTTAAGAGGAGACATTTGTCTTGAAATGACTTTTGTCGGTGCCCACACTCTCCCATCGCAGGAGAACCAACCGCTCATATCGCGGGAGTTTTTCCTCCCCGTGCCGCCGCGCCTGCTGCCTGTCCTGGAGCCACACAGGCACTAATTAGGGGACGCTCTCTTAGGACGATCGATGTGCCTCATATTGGCTGGCTCCAGCTCATTGACGAGCTTAGTGAGGGAAGCAGCTACTAAAAGACCACTTCAGCCGCCCGGCAGCCAATGCGCGCAGGATATACAGTAGAGAATCTCTCCTATAGCGCAGAGGCGGCTGACGCTGGAGCAGGTTGGGGGAGCAGGACCTCGTGTTGGGACCTTTCGAGGGAACAGAGCAAAGGGGGGGGGATTAACCGGTGGGGGGTGGAGGCTACTTCAGGGGGATTTGATGCAGAATAAAAGCTTAATTGTATTTAAATGTAACCTCGGTCCCCATAGTGAGGCAAATGGCCCTTGTCATACATTACTTAAATTTAAATGTCGATCTTGTAGTTTTTTAAGGGATAAAAATCAACCTAAAGGGAGATCTGAATATAGATGTGCGTAATTTGAGGATTAGGAACAGTGATCCATAAGACCATGTGGCTAATTATTTACCAAATGGTCCCAGTAACATGCTGTTGTGCTGCGATAAGGCTCCACTTGCTCATTTGAATTTATTGTTGTGGTGGAAATGATGACATATAGGGACTTTTGCTGAATCCTCTGATAGGTTTAGTGAGACTTTTAGGTTTGGATGGGTGTTGTTGTGCCACAGTTGTAGGTTGTCATAATTGGTCTTGTGATTTGCTCATAATTACCATACTGTCTTCACTCTCTTTGTCAGCAACCCACAAACTCCATATCAAACGCAACCCTGGTCGTGACACTGCTCTCTAAACTGCTCAGTCTGATCTTTTGGTACCAGAGCCTGTTCCCCAAGCCGTGCGTGTTGTGGAAGCGCAAAACAAATACTTCACATTTTGTGTGGGCCGAGTAGTTTATTTATAGTGTACCCCGTCGGACTGTTTTGCGCATCATTTTTCCACTGTGCACTGTGAAGTCAGTGCGGGGCTGATCTGTTTTCCAGGTGTTGAAACACAGATGGGGAGGGCTGCTTACCATAGATTGACACACTGATGTGTTTTTTTTCCCTCTCTCTTTTCACGCGAGAGGACTTCACACTTCTTCCAAAAACAGGGTTTTATTGCACGGGGCCCATTAGCTGTGTAAGTAGGGGGTCAAGGGTTGCCACACGAACAAAATAAGGCTTTAATTTAAATAACTTCTCATTAGAATTATGCAGACATTGCTTTGTGAATCAAATGTTTTACTTTCACCATCTGTCAGCCACACAATCAAATAGGTGTTCTGAACATTAAAAACACTAGAGAAACCTTATTTTAATGGATTCTTTGTTGGAGCACCTGAAGGTATCACCAGCCTCGTGCCTGCTGGGGCATATTGTCATGCTGAGTGATGTGTGACAGTGGATGTGTCAGCGTGGTGCTCCGAGGGGGGGATCTGCTGCTGCGTACAGGGACAGCCTCGCCACCTCCATTTTAAACCCATTAACCTGCTGTTTGTCCGCTTCTCTTATCCGGAATCAATAAAGGACCACGCGGGGAATATTGCGCACAGATTGAGAGCACGTCGATAAAATCACGGGGACCACTTTTGCATATCAAACCTTTTTCTAATGTGTTGGACGGCAGGCAGGAAGATGCGTAAAAAGGCGCGTCAGAAAATGCCCGTGTTGTGTTTAATATCCAGCCGGAGACACGAGGTCTGTCTTATTGTTGTCGCGCTTGTGTTTTTTTTTTCTCTCCTCTCTCTCTCTCTCTCTCTCTCACAAACTCGCTCCTGGATATAAAACAACAGTCTCGTCGCTGCCGGCGCTGCGCTCGCTGCTGAGGCGAGGTGCGTGTGAACAAAAGCGGAGGCACGGCAGAGAGCCGAGGAGAGATCGGTTTTCCAGGCGCTGCGCAGCTCCCGGAGGAGACGTCACGGTTTGATTGAAGCTATGCTCCGTGCTGGCCTCCCGGGACCTCGCGATGAAACGGGAGAGCCGCCCCCCCCCTCCTCCTACCTCCCTCCCTCCCT